TGCCTCCCGGCCCGCGTGCACCCTGCGGGGCCCGGGCCGGCCTCCTGGCGGTCGCGTGGGCTCGCCTCGCGGGGCCTCAGGGATTTTTGCTGGCGTCCCCGCTCCCCCGGGCTTCGGCGCTGGCGTGCGGAGCCGCCTTGGGGTCCGGCGTGTGCCGGGAGGACGCGGGCTGCGTGCGGGCTCAGAGCCCCGCGTGCACGCCGGGCGCCTCCCGCACCTCTGCGCGTTCGTGCGGCCTCGCGCCGCCGTCTGCATTTCCCATGTTTGCAGCATGTTTACAGTGAGGACGCTCCGCCGGTGGGGAGGGCAGCCCCGGCCAGCAGCCTGGGACACACGCACCCCCAGCTTGGCCACCTGCACGCTGCGCTCTCGCTGAGCCCGTCCTCGCCCCCTCCATGAGCCAGGCGCCCTGGCCCCTGTTCTGCGCGCAAGGCAGCTGCGCCCCCCTCGTGTTGGGAAGGGTGTCGGAAACCAGGCCCTTGGCGGCTGCTGTAGACCACACAGGGCAGCGTGCGGCCGTGGGCAGCAGGCCGGCGGGGCACACTCCGGGGGGGCTGCTGGCCTGCTCGCCGGCCAGTGCCTGGTGCCCCCGTCGAGCCCGGGTATCGGGGGCCATCTTGCAGTTCCTGGTCCACTAGCAGCGGCCTGGGCTGGGGCCCCTTCCCCGGGGGCCCTCCCAGGGTGCGGCAGGGGTGGGGCCAGCCTGGGGTCTGCCCAGGCCGCTGCCCCTCCTCCTCCCCTCTGCTGTGCCGTGGAGCCTGGGGGCAGGGGCTCCCTGAGGCCCGCGCCAGGGAGAAGCTGCAGCCACACCTGAGCCTACGAGTTGGAGGCTAGATCTTTCTCTGGCTGGGTGCCCTGCCCAGCCCTCTGCGTGTCTGCTGAGAAATGAGGGCACCACCTCGGCATGCCCGGGAGGACAGCCTTTCAGCTGGCAGCATCTTGGAGAAGCCCGGAACCTGGCCAGGAGCCAGACCCTTTTGTAGTGATCATTTTCTCCATGATTGTTTAGGACAGATTAACCTTCTGGATGGGGGAGAGGGGGACCATGTGCCATCCAGAAGTGGAACAGGATTGGCTTTCCTCCGGTTACTCTGAATCGAGTACCCACAGACGTGAAACCCTCACCCAGCTCCCACTTCTTGGGGTGACTGGAGAGTCAATTTGCAAATGGGGAGATGTCCATATCCCCTTTTCCCACCTTTATTCCCCTTTTCCAGGATCACTCCCCCTTCAAGAGCAGCGACTTCATTTGTATAAAAACAGACACAGCAGAGTGCTCAGCGGGGCTGGTCTCCACCACCGTGGGCATTTGAGGCACCTGGAGCCGTGCACACCCACCCTGGGGTCGTTGCGGACAATCCACTCGTGTGTGGGATGGCATCCCCAAGGTTCTTGGAGGAGCGATCAAAGAGGGCCAAAGCACAGACCCAAGCCCATCCCTGGGATAGCCCGGCCAAGCCCTGACCAGTACCTGTAAAGTGGAGATGGCAGTGTGAGGCCATTTGGGATCATGAGTGAGCTTCTGCCAAGTGTTGGGGACTGGGGACAGGGACAGGGCCGGGCTGGGGACAGGGCCAAGCTGGGGGACAGGGCCAGGGTGGGGGCCGTTGCTTTCCGTAGCTGCTGTGTGTGCTCACCGTCATTGTCCTGCTGTCCCTGGATGTCAGCCTGGCCATGCGTGCTCTCTGGAGTTCACCTTCTCTCTGTCCTCAGGGCTTTGCCAAAGCTGGCCATGGGGGTCCTCTCTGGACCCGGGCTTTGGTCTGTCTCCTCTCTTTGCGGCCCCCGGCGGTGCCTGCTGTGTGCTCTGCTCCATTGGCTTTCCAGGTTTCTTTTCACTTGGGTTTTATTACCATCTTTGAGCATGTGGTTCGGTTTGGGCATCTCTACAAGGGCTTGTGAAGGATGCACACTTGGGGCTTCGTCTCTGTCTGCCGTGTGCAGGTGTGTCCCATCCAGCCTCCCTGGGGTGTTTGTGCAGTTCTGGCCTGTTCTCCTGGACAGGTTGCTGTCCCCTCTCTCTGAGAGATGGACTCATGGCTGGAGTGACCTGTCTCAGCCCTGGATCCTCCTCTTCTGGCTGCGTTTGGGGTTTCTCTTCTATCCTCTTCAGCTTGAGGACGCACAGGGTGGGGGACGGGGCACAGAACTGCTGAGGTCCTGCTAACTGTTCTGAAAGCCCCATGCCCTGGGAGGCTGGAGCCACCCCTTGTCTGTACATTTGTACATGAGGTTTGGCCATGGGGTGAGCTGTCAGATGTTCCCTGGGGGAACCCCAGGGCAGAGATGAGCACCTTTCTGCAGGAGAAGGGCCCTTGGGGTTCAGAGGTGGGTCCGGCCTCGGCGCCCCCCAGCCCAGTGGAAGCTGAGACGGGCAGGGGCTTCCTTTGGGCCAACAGGCCATGAGCAGAGGGCTGGGCCCATGACATGGCCTTTGTCTGCCACCAGTCTCTCACCTGCCCCCAGAGTGTCCGTGCCAGTGCCCTTGGGGTGTTGCCCGGCCCGAGTAGCTGGAGCGCAGCTTGCTGCTGGCTGCGCCTGGCTCCTGGGTGTGGAGGACCCAGTCAAAGGCTTGCGCATCATGAGGCTTTTTACCCTGTGGCAGCTGTCATTCTGGAAGACTCCTGGTTTCCCTGCCCTGGTGGCGTGAAGGAGGATCCGGGGGAGGGGGGCTGTGTATGGCCCTGGCACCGCCATCTGCAGGGGTGGGGGGCCGTCCGTGACGCACTTGCCTCCAGTTCCCAAACGGGACTGCACTACCGTCTGCAGAAGCTCAGCTGTGCAGCAGCCTGTGGGCCGTGCACTGGCGTGGGGCCCTCACTTGTCTGCCCAGACGAGCCCCAGGATGTCCCGAGGGGGTGCACCCATGTTCTGCCAAGCCAGCCAGAGATCTCATGGACTGCTCGTCCTGCGCCAGTGCCAAGGGGACGTTCTTCGTGCTGAATTGTTTCTGCCTGTGTCACCCTCGGGGGGGTCCCTATGTCCCTGCCAGCCCTGTAGCCTGGGCCTAGACTGTGGCTGGGAGGATGGTGACCCCCTGGTAGGACTGGAACTTGGGACTGTTGAGAAGAAATCCCAGTGCGGGTGGGGGCAGGGGCCGCTTTCTGGACCCTCCCAGGTGTGGACTCTAGTCTGTCGGGAGGCCCGCGCGGTGCCCGGCACCCTCGTCAGGCCGCCTGTCTGACTCTGGTTGTCCGGGGTCCGTGACGTCCATGTGGTGCGGTGAGGCCCGGCCTCGGAGGACGTGTCCCCGCCTGGGGTCTCCCCACAGCAGCTGTTGAGTATCACATGCAGAAGGGCAGGAAGGTGACGTTCTTCAGCCCCAGGTTCTTGTGCGTGGGATTCTGAAGCATCACGAGGCAGGACACGTGTGCACACGTAACAGCGCGGGAGAGGAGCATGTGGGAGTCTCGGTGACAGGAACACGCCTTTGCAGCAGTCTTAGCCACGTGTGGGGGAGCGAGCGCCTTTCTGGTTGACGATGAGTTAAGGGTACAGCGCGGTGCGAGCCGCTGCTGGGGGACGTGCCCCCTGTGCCCAGCAGCTCCGCATCGCCCAACGGGGCGCCTGACCTGCTCTGCGCGGGCTCAGCTCCCGCCCGGCCGAGGCCCTCGCCCAGCAGACCCTGCCCTGGGCAGCCGGTCCTGGCGCCTCCAGACCATAGCAGAGTGATGCCCCCCTGCCCCCAGCTGGCCGTGCCGGGCGCCGAGCCACAGGAGGATGTGGTGGGCCGGTGGGGGCGGTGAGGAGCCCCTTCCCGGGGGGTGTGACCGTGGTAAGCCCGAAGCACCAGGAGCCTGTGGGGAGCCTGTTGTGGCAGAGGGTGGCTTCTCGGAGGCGGAGGGGAAGGCTGGTAGGGGCCATGCTGTGGACTTGGCGTTTATGCTGAGGGTCTTCAGGCTGTGACAGTCTCTGGGTCTTGTTTCTGAAGCCTCTGACGGTGGCGGGGAGGGGCGTGCTGTCCTGGTGGGAGCACATAGGACTGGGGGGCTGCTCTGGTGTTCGGGAGACCCGGGCCATGGCTTTGGAGCCTGGGGCCCGAGGGGTGAATTCTCGGTGTTGAGTGTGGGACGCTTGTCAGAGTTGCAAGGGGAGGCGTGACCGGCCAGGGACGCGGGATGCTGAGGTCAGGCGTGGCTGGGTCTCGGGCACCACCCCCTGGGGTTCCTGCTGGTGCCAGGGAGCTGCTGTGGTTGGTCTGGGGAGGGCTGGGCGCCTCGGGTGTCCCCAGGGTGTCCCCAGAGTGTGCCGCCTGCACCCTGATCCCTCCTGGGGCTGGGGGTGGGGTAGAGCAGGAGGACGGCCTTGTGGTCAGCTGGGTGGGGCTGGGCGTAGGAGAGCTCCGCCCAGACACCCGTGGGTGGGGCCCTGGGGGCCCCGGTCCCCTCCCTTGCCCCATTGCCTTTAAAGTGAACTTTCTGGCCAGCTTTAGGCTCACAGGAAGATGATGAAGGCAGCCTAGCGTGTGTCTGTGTCCCTGCAGGCAGCTCCCCGTGCGGGGCGGCACAGCCCAGGTCCCGCCGCCCCCTCCTGCTGCTGCCTGACCAGCACCCGCCTGTCCGACCTGGAATTCTGTGCGCACGTTTGGGACAGCGGCCTGTGCTGGCGTTCCTCATGCCCTTGTGCGGGGGTCTAGCAGCAGGGCGTCTCCTGCAGCCCAGCGGGTCCTGCCGCCGCCCGCACCCCCAGCTCCCGGTGAGGGCCTCCTGCATCACTAGCCGTGCTGACCGCCGTGTCCCCCCCCCCCGCTGAGTGGCGGGGATGCAGGTGTGTGCACTTGGTCACCTCCCACTGTGGGCCCCCAGCCCCCCAGGGCCACCGCCGCACAGTGCACAGCTCACCGTACGCGGAATAAAGCGCGAGCTGTGTCGAGGTGCTTGTCAGAATTTGCCCGCTCCCCGCGTGCTCGCGGGGTGCCACAGCCGTGCGTGCCCGGCGCCTGCCAGGTGCAGGGGATGCCCAGCAGCCCCTCTTCTGGTGAGGCTGTAAGCAGCCCACGTGTCTGTCTGGAGTGGGACATCAGAGTAGGGCAGGAGGTGGCCAGGGAGGAAGCCAAGGGAGCCTGGGAGTGTTGAGTAGCGGGAAGGGCAGGGGCAGCGGCAGCCTGCAGCCCGTGGGAGGCGCCCAGCCCATGTCCCACCCTCCCAGACCCCCGGCCAGCTTCTGAGCCCCACCCCTGACACTCAGGCCCTGTCCCTGGCCGAGGGGCTCTTGTACCTGCTGTTTCGGAGCAGGTGGCTCCCAGGAGCCTTGTGCCGGTCATTGTGGGACGGGCACTGGGGGAACATGGAGTGGGGCGGAGGGACACAGGCTCATGGGGTGTGTAGGAGAGGGTCCTGCACCTCCCCGGGGTCTGCCCTTCAGCTGTCCCTTTGTAAATGTGGGGCCACTCCCCTGAGGGCGGAAGGTGAGCGGAAGCCCCGGCCTGCGTGTTTGGGGAGCTTGGGGCAGTCCTGGGTGGTTTCGTCAGAAGCATCTGTACCACGTCACTAAGTGTCCCCGAGGCGTCTGTTCTAAAAGAGTAGAAAATAACTGGAGACAGCACATCGGTTTCCTTGGCTGGGTGACAGTTTGGGTTGGTTTCTCTGAGGAGGCAGAGTGCCCCTTGGACATTACGTAACGCGTGGCCCTCCTGATGGTCTCCCCGCGGTGCAGTCTGAGCCGCCGCGGCCATGCTCCCGGCAGGACCTGGGACAGCAGTGTGGGGGCCCAGCGCCTGGGGGGGTGGGCAGAAGGCAGCCGGCCGCGTGCTGGGACCACCCGAACCTGCCTCCGCCGTTTAAATGCGTTCAGATAGTGTACGTTTTGCAGTAATGTCTTTTCAATTTTGCTGTCCGTTTTTTGTGTTTTTCACGTTCTTTTTAATGAACGTCATGTAGTTTTTGTGATTTTTTTTGCGGCAAAACTGTCTTACGGATAATTAGGCACACAGGGCAAATGCTTGAGAAAAGATGCTTTCGGTGAAAATATCAGACGCAGTTGGGCAGCGGTGACCAGAGGACGGGCAGCGGTGACCAGAGGACGCACAGCGGTACACGTGGCCTGGTGGCCCTGCGGCCCCCGATCCCCAGCCCTGTCCTCACCACCTCAGTTTCCGCGTCTGTGTAGCGGCCACCCCTGTGTTCCCGTCGTCCTTTGCCTGTGTCCGTGGGGCTCTCTGTGGTCATTCTGGGCAGTGAGATCACCTGGCGGGGCTTCCGTGGGGCACGTTCCAGGAACGAGGCCGAGTTTGGTGGGTTATCGCACCGTGGACGTCCCCCAACACCAGCCTGGAAGCTCCTTGCGGTCACTCGGTCTCATTCTCCCAAGCACAGTCGGGCGGTGGAGTCCCGTGGTGCTCACTGCTGCTGGGCTTGGCTCAGCCTCCCTGGCCCCGGTAGATGCCGTCGTGCTGTCTGTGGGGCCCCGGGGCCAGGACGGGCCGGGGCCAGGCTCACCTTTGCCTGCGTGCACCTGGGGCCTGAAGTCACTATGCGTCTGCCCGCCGGGCCCAGGGACCCTCAGCCTGACCCAGTCTGGCCTTTGAGCCCCACGCCTGCCGGCGCTCCCCTGGGTGGGACACGCCTCACTGCCCCTAGTAAGGGGGCCGAGACGCACCCTGGCCCCTTCAGGCTGCTCACGGGCTTCTGAACCTAGGTCAGCTGATGGCAAAGTAAAGCTTCCTTTCGAAATCATTTTCACAGAAAGGGTGAGCCGGGGGCATGGTAGAGCACAGGGTGAGATGCTCCGTGTGCCCGAGGGGGGTCTGGCTCTCCTTACTGGGGTTCACACAGCCCCGGGCCCTTGGCGTGGAGTGAGTGTGCAGATAAGAAGGCCGCCACCCACACACACACCACCAGCCTGTGCCGTCTGCCGCCGGCCACCCCGAGCACGGAGGACCCGGCTGGGGACTCTGGTTGCTTTCAGGCACGCCTGGTGCTTCCTTCTCTGGGCTTTAGGAAGAACACTGAAGAAAGCCTTGCGACCGCTGGTTGGCATGACCCCTTCCTAACTCTCCGTCCCTTGCACACGCTGAGTGTGATCCCGTGGGGCCCTCCAGGCGGGAGGGCAGACGGGCTGACCGCCCTCGGCTCCGTGGAGGTGACCACTGTGGTCTTGCCCGGCAGGATGCCGCTGCTCTTCTGTGGCTGTGGTTGGAGTAAGTGTGGGCCACCAGTGGAAAGTAGAGGGGCAGGGAGACGTGGCGGGATTAACTCGATTTGGGTTGCAGGTCTTGGGGTTCTGTGGCGCTCCATCCCGCCTGTGCCTGGCCACAGCCACGGGGTGCGAGTCCACCAGCAGCTGGGGCCCACCCTCCCTCCCTCGCCGTCTGTAGGCACCCAGCCGCGCGGGATTCCCATGAGGCCCGACCTCCGGTGCTGCCACTGGGCAGGTGCAGGAAGCCCCGAGGATGCCGGGCCAGCCAGCCCCGAGGGCTTTATTCAGCTGCTGCTGGTTGACACCTGACCTGAGGCCTGCCTCCTTGGGGAGGCCCGCATCCTTGGGGCGGCCCGCGTCCGTGGGGTGGTCTGCGTCCTTGGGTGGCTTGTATCCCTGGGGTGGCCTGCGTCCGTGGGGAGGCCTGCGTCCTTGGCGGCCAGCTTGCTGCCAGGGCCCAGACACCTCACGCCTGTTGCTGGCTCCATGCTCACTTTGGGAAGGTCGAGGTAGAGGGTGAGCCTTGCCTCAGGGCGGGGAGAGCTCCGGCCGGCACAGCTGGGCCTCTGACCGTCTGGGCCTTGCGCACCACTGCGTCCTGCTCCTGTAGAGGCCGGGCCGGACAGTCAGCGAGGGTCCCTGCAGGTTCTCTGGGGCCTCAACCTGTCACAGAGTAGCCCCCTCCCGCTTTATGAGGTGTGAGCGACATTTCTTATTTCATGACTCATCGGGTATGTTCTTTATGGAACAAAGTTAAATCAAAGGTGGGTCCATCGTTTGCAATTTCCCACGTTTTGTATTGAGCCGTGTATCAGGAGAGTTTGGGCCCTTTGGGCTTCGAGCCCCTTCTGCCGCCGGGCTTGACCTCAGAGCAGCCCTGGGGTGGGCCTGGCGGGGGACGGGTAGGTCTGACCTGGGCAGAGCGTGTCACGGTCCCCTGCCTGGGGCCCACCAGCCGCCGCCCACCTGCCCCATGAAGGACTCTTAGCTATGACTGGATCGACAGGGAGAGGGGGCTCTGGTGCCCTCCGCTGAGAGAGGGTCCCACCTCCCATGGAAGGGGCAGCTCAGCCCCCAGCAGCACAGGACGGTGCCAGTTTGGCCAGGCCCAAGCTGGCCGGCGGTCACTGGCCGGCACCCAGCTATGGCGAGCTGCGTCGGGGTGGGGAGCAGGATCCTGGCATGGGCGGTCTGGCCCGGCCGGGGGAAGGGCCTCAGGGCATGCGGCCTCACAGAACTGAGGAGGAGCCACGGCTCTGTGCAAACCCCGGGCCACCTGCCAGGCCTCTGGCTTCCTCCCACGGTGTGGCTTCAGCGCCCTCGGACCAGGGGGCCCGGTGTGGAGCCCATCATGGGGACAAAGGCCTGTGAGCCATCCTTTTCTTGGCAGAGAGCTGGTGTTCTCAGCCAGCTGGGAGCTGGTCCTGAGGGGTCAGTGTGGGGGCTTGAAACGCACAGAGGGACTCGAGGGGAGAAGCAGACCGTCCCCAGCATGGGCCTGAGACTCCCAGCATGCACAGCTGCCCTCCTGCCACCGCACGTCCTGGGGTTGCTGCAGGCTGCACGTGGCTGGCCTGGCCGTGGCTTCTCCATGGGCCAGTCTGGTTCCTTCGTGGTTGAGCCCAATCAGCAGAGGACTGCACCACCCGAGGTTTGGGTCATAAAGCACATCCACACTCGGGCGGGGACAGAGGAGATCAGTCAGAAATCACGCCTGCAGAAGCCAAAGGTGAGCGTGGCCGTCCGACCCGGCCCAGGCTTGCAGGTCAGGACAGCAGATCGCCCGCCCTTGGTGTGGATGGGGTGGTTGCAGCAGGGGTCTGCACGGGTTCCGTGGGCTGCAGGCCCATCCCTGCTGGTGCTCGTCTATCCAGTGTCCCTGTGGCCAGCAGTGGGGGGGGGGGTGCATCCAGCCCCCACATCCATGCAGCCTCCCACCCTCGTGGCACTCCTGCTCCGTGTGGGGCCTCCCAAGGTGCACGCCGACGGCACTCTGGGTCTCAGTCGGTGTGATGCCTGGCTACGCCTCGGGGGCCAGCCCCAGTGCCGTGTTCTCATGCTGAGAGCAGGGGTCAGGTGCTCGGGTGGGTCCGGAGCACTCCTGAAACCTCCTCAGCCTGTCCCTGACGGGTGTGTGACCCACATGCGTGCTGTTCTCCATGTCTCGTCAGGGGAGCTGTGCCTGAGTCGAGTGCCTGTCCCTGGCGGGCACTGTGTCCCAATCTGCATCCCCCGGTCCCCCTCCAGGTGGCCTCATCCGAAGTGGCCTCTCCCTGTGCAGTCACAGGCCCGGCAGGCTGTTGGCAGCGTGAGCTAGAAGCTTGCAAAGCGAGCTGGCCACAGACCAGAGACCCACACTCGCAGTGCGTGGACACTGGCGGCACGTGGGGTGGGGTTCCCGAGAACCTGGAGGAGACATTGGGGAGCCCTTCAGAGGAAGCCTCTCGCTGCACCTGCATCCCAGCCGTGCCCACAGTCCGCTCCTACGCCGGGCGCGGCCCCTCCTTGCGGGCAGGTCCCAGCCTGGCAGCTGCAGGCTTGGGTCAGAGATGCACTGAGAAGCTTCACCTTTGTGGACCTTCTGGCATCTTTGAGTTCTAGTTGGCCCTGGATGGTATTTTAACGTGTCTCTTGTGTTTAATTTTTAGTCAGACTTTGACCCCGGCGCAGGCTTCAGTGGTCGCCGAGGATCAGGAGCCTAAGAGCTTTGGTTCGAGACAATTAAAGACGTGGGATGAGGATCCAGTGACAGGACGCGGTTCTGCCTGGGGATTCTGAAGATAAAACGCTTTGAAAAGTCGAATTCATGGTCGTGGAAGCCGAGCCCATATTAAGAAATGTCAGGTTGGTAGGGGCTCCTGGAGTTCGCAGCGGCTCGAAGCTGGTCCCCGCGTGGCCGAGCACGGGCACGGTGGTCCTATCCGTTCAGTGCAGGGCGGCCCGAGCGCCGGGAAGGGGCCGGCAGACTCCCGGGCTTCCCACGGCTTGTGCGGCGGGTCAGAGTGGCGACAGTCCCCCCAGGCGGCAGAGCACGGGGCTTCCTCGGGGGTCCCATCGGAGGCCTGAAGCCCCAGGTGGGCCAGGCCCCGGTCGATGCTGGGTCTGTTCTGGTCGTCCTCCCGTGAACTCAGTGCTGGGCTGGGGCGTTACCATGGAAACCCGAGGCCTGTTCCGGTGCCGGCCGCGTGGTCAGGAGGCCAGCGCCTCCCTGGGGCGCGGGGCGGGCGTGTCCTGGCACTGCATCTTCTCGTGCGCTGCTCACCGGGTCACACGTGCTCCTGCAGGACGTGTCCTCGCGCCGGCGGCAGCTCCAGCCCGCACTCTGCAGCCTGCCTCCCAGCCTTGGAGACTGCCGAGGGCTGAGGGCTCCCCTCACGTGCGTTACATCGGTCCGTGTTTTTTAGAACTAAAGCCGAGGGATGCTGCAAGTAGGCATTTTCCAGTTCACGTGAAAGTAGCGACGATAAGCCCATTCTGTGCCAGTAACTAACAGTTCTACGTGAAACATCACCATTCCCCAAGTAAAGCTGGAGAGATGGGTGGCGCTGTCCGCATGAGGGCACAGCTCCATGCTCTCTGGAGACGGCGCGTGTCTGCCCGGCCGAGGGTCACCCATCGCCCCGCCAGGTGGGAAACACGCCAGGGAGCGAGGGAAGCGACTGAGAAGGGGTTCTGGCCTCGCAGACCCCGCACCAAGCTGCCGGCTGGGGCTGCCGGGTCTGTGCGCTCACGTGGTGGTGGGTGAGCCGTGCGCCCCCGGGCGTGGCTGCCTACTGGGCTCTGGGCCACGGGCAGCCAGTCGTCCCCGCCCCCGGTTCTCATCCTGCGCCGCAGTGCTGCCCACATGCTGGGCAGGGCGGGTCTTTGTGGGCCGTGGGTCTGGGCGGCGTGGACGGGGCCACGGGCGGCTCGTCAGCTACCACTCCTGTCACCTGGGCGGCCCTCGTGTGTCCGCTTGGCCCCGGATGAGGCGTGGTCACCTCCCGTACGGAAGGAGCTTTTAACAGATCTTAATCTTCTTGTCCCGGCTGTGTTCGGTGTTTTAACCCTTCCCCACCTCTGCTCCGTTTCTTCCCTTAAACCTGCAAGTGAGATGCTGCTGGGCATGGGGGGATGGTCCTGCAGGGTTTCTGGGCGGCCACGCTGCAGCCATAGGCAGAAAAGGAACGGTGGGTGTTGTTGTGAAGCCGGTGACGTGACCGTCTGCGTGTTCCACGGTCAGAATGGTGAAGACCCTGGCGGGGCTGCCACGGCACTTCCACGCATGTCTGGGCCCTGAGTCCTGTGGGGGTGGTGCCGGCCGGCGGGGTCGGTGGGCTGTAGCAGACACTGGCTCGCTCTTCGCAGAGATGTTTTTACTCAGGTTGGACGAAATCCAGACGTGTGGACACCTGGGATGTGTCGGGCCGTGGGTGGTGGTGGGCCGCGGGGGTCGCGAGCTCTCCGCTGGGGCTGAGCGTCTGCTCCTCTCTCTGCAGGCGTCCGACCCCCGATCATGAACGGGCCCATGCATCCCCGGCCCCTGGTGGCGCTGCTCGATGGCCGGGACTGCACGGTGGAGATGCCCATCCTGAAGGACGTGGCCACGGTGGCCTTCTGTGATGCGCAGTCCACGCAGGAGATCCACGAGAAGGTGACTGGGGGTGCCTGAGGGAGCGGGGAGGGCAGGCGGGTCTCAGGTGTGTGTGTCTGCTGCTCCCGTGCCACCCAGACCTGTGGCCACTGTCACCCCCTGCCGGACGTGGACCTAGGGCTGCTTTTGTGGCTGCTTGAGCCACTGTGTTGTAACCAAGTGTTCCTGGAACGTGGAGCCTGGGGCCGTGGATGTGGCCAAGCGCAGTGGGGCCGATGAGCTGCACTGTCCTGGTCCCACGTTGGTCACCCAGGCCATCCGGGCTGGCAGTCAAGCACGTAGGCCTGGGTGTCTGCTGTTCTGGAAGCGGAACTGACCAGCCCTGGGTCTGGGTCCTGGCGACAGGACGGCGGACGCAGCCGCATCCTCACACTGTCCGCCTTCCAGCCTGTTAACGACCGCATCAAGCCTTGAACGGGGATTCCGCTGTGCGGCGGGCACCCCGCGGGAGCAGCGGACAGTCCTCTGTAGGGGAAGGTCCCGTCGACAGAGCCTCAGGTCATCCCAGCACTCATTTCCTGTTGCGCGTCCGTCATGGGATCTGAGGACACGGGCAGAGAGAGAAGACTGAGCTCGCAGCCTCGCAAGGAGCTGATGACCATGGGAGCAGCTTTAGTGAAAGTCTAGAAGACCCAGAGGGTCCCCACGCCACGGGACGGGGATGGGCCAGGAGGGCGGGGGTGAGGGGCTGCAGCCGAGGGTCCGGTGCCACTGACTGAAACCTCAGGACCCGTGGGGTCGGTGGGGAGGGGTGCAGGAACAACAGGACGAGGTGTCGCAAGCCAGCGGACGGCGGTCCCCCTGGAGGAGGCATGCGTCGCGACACAGCTGGTGTTTATCCCAGAGCGGCGAAGCCCAGTGTACGCTGAGTCCTGCCCTTGAGTGTGGCCGCAGTCGCGGCCCTGCTCCCCGGAAGCAGGAAGAACCCGGCGGCCTTCGGCAGCGCGGGGTGCCCAGAGTCTCCTGGGCCATGGAAAGGAGCGTGTGCAGCAGGTGGCCGGCGCTTGGGGGCACGGTGCTGTGCGCTTCTGCTCAACTCGGAGCAGGGTCACAGGATGGAGGCGGGGAAGCGGGTGGTGAGGGGCTGCTCCAACTAACTCGGGCTAGAGCCACCCTCCTGCGCACACGCGCATGTGTGGGGATGGGGGGCAGACTGCAGAGCTGGGGGGCGGCTCTTGGCAACTTTCTGTGCATTTTAAACAGTTTCAAACTTTTTTAAAAAAAATTTTAAAAAATAAACTACAGGGAATGAAAGATCTACAGATAGAAATGTTTAAAAATCATGAGCAATATTGAAACAAGTTCTGTCAATAAATCTGGAAACTAAGACAAAACGGATGTTTTCCTTTAAGATTGTAACTTACAGAGTGATCTCCAGTTCACGTACAGCCCAGAGCAGCGAGTCAGGCCGCCGGCGAGGGCGGGGACACTCAGCGTGCTGGCGACTCACCCGAGCCAGCGCACAGACGGCGCCCCTCGTGCCTCCACGGGAAGCCGTGGCCTGCCTGTCGGGAGAGCGGGTGAATGCGTAGAGGAGCCACCCTGCGGGCCACGCTCTGGAGAGGAGAGAGCGTTAGGGCCAGCCAGTTGGAGCCCTCGCGGGACCCGAAGGAGCACCTCGTGCGGCCAGTGGCACGGGAAGGCGCTCTTGGAAATTAAACACGCACGTGAAAATTTAAATGTTAATAGGAAGCTTGAAAGACACAGTCACGGGGAGCCTGGGAGAAAGATGGGAGCGAGGAGGCTCAAGGACAGCCGCGCAGACCCAGGAACCCATGCCTGGTGTGACTTGCAGCCGCAGGCCTCAGGGATAGCCCATATCCCAGGGGAAACGCGCTTCCTTTCCCAAGCCTTGCTGCTGGTGTGGACAAGTGACAGTCCAACCAGGAAGAGCCAACAAGGCTTGTGTGCAGAGAGCCGCCTTCTCTCTGCTGCCTGGAAACCAAACGTGATGGCTGGAGCCCACGCAGCCACCTGGAGCATAAGGGGAACCGTGCTTGGGAATGGCCGAGCCACAGGATGGGAGCCCTGGCCCCTGCTGACTGTGGTGCTAACCCAGGGCCCCGGACCACCTGTCTGCCCACCTCCGCTTAGAGGGAAACGACGCATCCCTGTGGATCAGGGATTTCTGCCTCCTTGTAACTAGCTGTACGGCAGATGCTGAGTGTTCCAGAGGAGAGACCGTGCCGTTCTCAGCACAAGGTGATGAAGAAACCTTCAGAGCTCAGTGGAGACCAGCTCTCCCAGCGTGAACCCAGGACGAGTGTCGGGGCCACAGGATGCTCTGCTGCTCAAGGAGCAGATTCTCCCAGTGTCACCTGCAAAGAGACAAGAATCAGACCAGCCCCAGGTCGGGTGCTTCAAAGCTTCTGGGGAAAACAGCTTTCAGCCCAGCGCTGCATATCCGACCGAACCGCAGGAACAGGGGCGTTTTCTGTTACTCTCCTGGAAAGCTCTTTGAAGACCGGCAGCTGCAAAGGAAGGGGCACTCATGAGAAAGGGCCCCGTGGGGTGGGAGGGTGCTGTCAGCTGGCCTGGAGCAGGGGGTCCCCCAGGCACACGTCTGGGAAAGCAGGACACCTGTCGGGATGGGACAGTAAGGCGGCGCTTTGGGGACATGCCAGGGAAGACCGCAGGGGACCAGTCCCAGGAGGGAGGTGCTCAGGCTGTGTGAGAAGTGAGGGGAGCGTCCAGGCAAGTGCAGAAACAGGCCTGGAAGCAAGCCTTGGGTGGCAAGAGGGCAGCAGGAGGGCCACGGCGACTCTGGGCAGAGAGTTGGGCCGTGTCGGTGCCCGTGAGTGGGTGGGACAGACGCCCTGGGGCAGGGGAGAGGATGGGGAAGTGAGCCCCGGCACGGCCACATGTGTGCACGCGTCGCAGCAGATGAATTGGGGGAGCTTCTGGAGGGGATGTGCTTCTTATCTGAGGCACGTGGTGCAGAAAACGGTGCCGCGTACAGGAAAAGGTGGTTTGATTAAGAGGCAATCAGAAACAATCACGTGGCGAAAGAAGGAACACGTGAGAAGTGGGTGGACGTTGGCAGCACCTACAACAACCAGGGATTTGGCGGTAGATACTCAGGCTCCCGGCAGAAGGTGGGTGACGGAGGGGGCGTTTGCGCGAAGACAGAGCGGCCACCGGGAAGCAGGGGCTCCCGCCACATGTGGCCGCACCAGGAGGCGCGAGGCGCCACCCCTGCTCCGGGGGGGGTGTGGCCGGGCTGGCTGCGCAGACCTGAAGGATGCAGTGTTCTCTGGGCCTGCGCGCGGCTGTCTGTCACAGGGAGGCGTCTGGAACCACGGGCAGCGTGTTGGAGGCACCGTGCCAACGCTTTTCTGAGCTGAAGCCGCACAGAATGACCCAGAGAGTAAGTAAAATCCACAGAAGTCACAGAACACTTGTGAATCGTGCATCTCTGTGTGTGCAGGATGCGAGCGCAGCCCCCACCTCTGGGACGGTGTGGTGGGTCCTGGCCAGGGCCCACCAGCAGGCATCCTTCTGGCCAGCCAGACCCGGCCGCCCTGTACGTGCTGCCCGGTGAGTTCCCCTCCGGCCCTGCTGCCACTGGGAGCACCCGGGGCCTGCGCTCTGAGTTCATCCTGCAAGGTGGGCCCCATGGGACCCCGTTTCGGGGTTAAGGACACAGGTCACAAGCCTGGTCACACAGCTGGTGGAGGGGTATGTGAATGGACATCTGCTGGTTTCCAACTTACGGAGACAGACTGGGCCCTGGGGATTCCTGCCAACTTCGTCCCCGGGAGGTCTGTGTGATTCCTGGGGGTATCCCAGCCACTTTGCAGTCATGACAGGGAACGTGAGGAAGCTGCAAGGAGAGTGGGCCTAGGGGCTGGATGGAGCTGGATGGATGTCCCTCTGGACAGAGCTGCCAGTGCAGTGGGCTTCCGACCTGCAGCTGAGCAGGGCCTCCCTGGCCCAGGGTCGGGTAGACAGCCACGGAGCAGGCTGCAGTCCCTGTTCTGAGAATGCTTCACTGGGTACCACGTAATTAAAAATACGCTTAGGAGAAAAAGGTTAGGACATGAAAAAATAACTTACCAAGACACGTATGTGGGCAAGTCACCCTCAGAAACGCAAGGAAAGGTAAAAACAGTAGATGTCAGTCTGCGTCCATCACACATTGCGTCTTAAACCCTGGACTGCGCAGTGTTGCACGGTCGGTGCTGGTGGGTAGTCCCACCGCCAGGGTGCAGCGAGCGGCACTTCCCGGAGCCCCACAGCGGGTTCTCCCGTGGGCCTGCTAGTCTCCACCCTAAGGACTCATCTCACGGAAGCCGCGGGATTTTACCACGGCTCGGCTGGCAGTGGAGGCCGCCCGAGCGCCCCAGCAGTAGGGAGCGTCCAGACAAGTTATGGGTCATCCGGGTTGGGATGTAGCGCGGGGTGGTTAAAGTCATGATTTGGAGATTGTTTACTGCCGTGGGTCAGCGCTCAAGATGAAAAGAAGGTTGCCATCTGCACACACCACCGGCCTTTGCTTTGAGCATCCTCCTCCGCGCCTGTCCACAGCTGAGCCTCCTCTGCATGGGCATCTCGGGAGGAGGCCTGCATGCGTCCAGCTGCCGAGGCTGGAGACTCAGGCTTACCTCTGGAGCTTCCCCGGGTCCAGGGCCGCTCCTCCTAATGCTGGCTTGGATGCGTCTTTCTCTCTGTTCCCACTGCATGGCTGTCTGCCCACAGTGGGCACCGACGAGTCTGTCCACTCGCCCCCCACTGCTGTGGCCACCCTCCTCCAGTCCATGCAGCTCGGCACAGGGTGGCCAGAGGGCTCCTCCTGTGGTATGGTCAGCCAAGGTCTGTTTTCTCTCCTCCATCCCAGGCCCTCACTGCATCCACCTCCTAGCCGGCCTCCCCATGCGCTCTGCCCTGTGAGCACTCACTGCTACCCAGCTGTCACACGTGGGTCCTCACCCCACCCACACCAGGTGCAGTCAAGGTACCAGGAGTCCATGCCTGTGCAGCCTTGATGTCCTCCCGGGAGTCCAGGACTGACATTCCTGGGATCTTCAGTGCAGGAACTGGAGC